GGAGCAAGCAGCGCGCGCCGCGTCTCGCCGACAAACTCAAGAAGACGCACGCGACTAAGTAACATGTCGTGGGTGAAACGGCGACCCTGCGGTACCTTGCCCCAGATGACCTGGGTGGGACAGAGCGGGGCAGGATGAAGCAGTCGGTGGGGGTGCCGGTCGCGAGAGCTTTGAAGGGCCTGGCGGCCGATGCGAGCCGCGCCGCTGCCGACGGCCACCAGGGGAGTGCAATCGCGCGAGCCTTGAGGGCGCCGCGAACAGCATCGGAAAGAGTGCCGGGCGGAACAACATCGAAGTGGCGGACATCATGGTCGATGATGGTGACAAGGATATGCTTTTGGATCAAATCGCCGTCGAGCGCGCCGCAACGCCCCCGCTTGTCCTGAACATCGTCGGCCGGCGGATGACGCCCACCAGCTTCGGCGACGGTGATGTCCCGCGCGAGACCGCGACGCTCCCAATGCAGACCAACCTCATCCGAGCCATCTTCGCATCCAAAGATGCAGCCACGTAGCCCTCGGCAGTGGTGGGCCTAACTGACGGGGTCCAACCGCCGACCAAGGCGCGCGAGAGGCTGAGAGCCTGCGCGACGGGGTGCATGCGATGCTTCCTCTGCAACGAGCCCCGCGAGACCTGCTGGTGATGGGGGGGGGGGTCGATGAGGATGCCACCTGAGTTCCGCGCGTGGGATCGTGTCCACCGACGGGGCCCGTGCAGTCATGTGTCGTGAGGAAGGGGCGCGGCATGTCACAGGGGAAGACCGAGTGGGCTAACTTCTGGCATTGCTTTCGCGCCTCATGTTTGGCCGCCGGGAGCTCCGCGATCTCGACGGCGCATGGTGTCCGAGAAGCATCTGCTGCAGCGCCGAGGCACTCCGCGAGCAGAAAGACGGCGACGACCCTCCGGCAAGATCGCGACGGTGAAACCATCGGTCCGCCGAAGAGCGGAAATTGTGCAAGTGCTGTTGATGTTCGGGGTGCGTGGCAACTGTCGGCGGGGCAAGGGCCGCCGCGTAGAAAGGGGCTGGCAAGCGGGGCTTCGGGCCACCCTGGCGGCCGAGGGGGGGAGTCCGCGCGGCGAAGGGCGCCGTCGGGAAGTCGCAATAACCGAACCAACGCGTAGATGTCGAATTGCAGGATCCGAGACGACCATGGGAGAAACTGTGCGACGTGCCCCCGGGTAGGAAGCGCTCGCGTGCTATAGTTCAAGGCTTTGAATGACGTCGGCGCCGAAGGGCCCTCGAGGGCCGCCGCCCGCGGCTTCTGCGTCGCCCGGGGGGCCGCCCGCGACTGCGTGGCGGTGGCTGCAGGGCCAGGCCGCGTGCCCAAACCCATAAACTGATTTCTGTTTTGAGATCCGACTGCGCAGGGATGCCCTCGTGGATGAACGACTGGATTTTCTGCTGGATTCGCGGCGTGGGCGCCTCTTGGAAAGGGGACCAGGATGCGCTTGCGTAGAGGGTTGGAGCTCCAAGTTCGCGGGCTTCTCCGCGACTGCCGTAAATTGCGCAAGGGGGCGCAGGTCGATATTGTCGACGACCGGCGCCCGTCCAATATCGTCGGTGCATGCCCGAGAGACCCCTTCCGTCCATGGCTTCGGAGCCTTGGCGAAGTTCTTCCGAGAAGGGCGGGGTCGCAGTTGCGAGTGTGTTGCCTGATGGCGAGCGCCCCTGCGTGGCCCCGCAGAAGATGCGAAGCGGGTCCATGGTTAACCCGTTCGTCGCGCAAGGGGCAAGCGGGGCTCGTCGAGAAGCGTGAAGAGGCGCTCCTGGCTAAGGCAGGGGGGGGGGCTTGACCCAGGTCCACAACAATTAGGATCGGCTGGCGGGGCGCGGTGTCGGGCATGGGCGAGGCCGGCTTGGCCGCCGCGTCCGCTTCGACGATGTTGGGTGCGAGCTGCCGTCCAGCAGCGCAGCCCTTCTGAATTGCCGAAGGTGTCTGCTAGGTGATCGGGCCCGGCGCCGCATTGAAGGTGGCTGAAACAATGTTCATGTCTGTGTTGCGAAGTCCCAGAGCCCTGGCAGTATCAGGCGCGCGCGTGACCTCCACGTCGTCGCTGTCGCTGGCCCGGCAACCTTCGCGTAGGAACACATGCAGGGCAGCCGCCGCTGCCGAGAAGAGGCGATGCCCACCCGTTGAACAGGCGCAGTCTCCCCGCGAGGCGCGGGCCCCGCAGTGGCGAGCAGCCCAGGCGGCGCGCGGTGGCCCATCCACTCTGGGGGCAGACCGCGATGGGGGCAAGCCGAGAAAACACGCGAGAAAGCAACGCGTCGGACAGCGGCGCCGCGCCGTCGAACGAACGCGGGGCGATGAACCTCTCTACGTAGCGCTCAGTATGTCTCGGGAAGGGCGGCGGGCGCGCCGAAAGCGGGGCCCGGTAGTCGGCCGGGGCGCTGAGCTTGTCCATGAATTGGGCGTGGATGTAGCCGCTGACCTTGATCGCGCGAAGAGCCCCGAGCTGCGCCTTCCTTTGCTTCGCCGAGATAGTGCCAGCTGATGGCCTCGCACGCCCGTGAAAATGAAGAGCCGCGTGGAGCAGCTCCTCCAGTTCTCGCGCGGCAGCCGCATGCCGTGCAGTAGTGGCCCAAGGTAGCGGGATCGATGGGGCGAACCCCGCAAGGCGTGATGTTTGCGCGCGAGCACGGCACTTCCGATTCAGTGCAGACACTGTGCCAGATGGGAGTCCTGGCGCCATGTGGCTCGAACCATCTGGCGAGCAAAAATCCACCGGGCAGAAAGACTCAGTGGGTCATCCACCAGAGGCTGCTGGAGTGCGTCGCGCGCCGCGGCATCGATGAAGTCCTTGTACCGTTCAAGCTGACGAGGAGGAGACACGGCAGGAACGGCCGGTTCATCTTGTCACAGCCACGCTTCCAACCGAACACCGACTTCTTCTCACTTGTAGACCATGTGCGGGACCGACTTGTGGAAAGCTTTATCCACTTACCGATTTTGTATATGAGCTCGAGTGGCAGCGTGGTCAGAGACATCCCAAGCAGACGGATCCCCTGGAGCAGAGACCATCGTGGCCGAGTGTTGGAGCTGGCAGGATACCCAGCTTGGTTCCGAAAGCCACAGGCGGTCAAATTGCGCCAATGTCCAAACGTTTTTGCAAAGCTGGGCACGCTCCTCAGTCGCGATTTCGAGCATAAAGCAGAGTGCCACCGTCCAACCTTTCATTTGCGTGCGTGCATTGTCAGTGGCCTTTAATGTCCCGAGCAGCTTCAGGACGCAACAGCAGGAGCGGCGAAGTAGAAGCAACGTTGACGTCCCACAACCCCCCGCAAGTCTCGTCCTCGGATCGCCCTGAACCCATGCGAAATCCAGCTTCAATTCAGTAGTAACCTTTGTCACATCTGCACCAGACGGAACATTGCAATGAACATTCTAGTGCCGCGTCTCAGCCTGACCGCCGTACGTGACTGTCTTGAACACTCTCCTATCGATAAGGGACGCTGGCGAAACGGAAGCGGAAGCTGACGCGGATAGGGGAACCACCATCACCACACCACCACTAGTATGTCCGCCACGGTCAACCTCGAACGGGCCGAAAACAACAGAGGAAGGCACCACTCTTCGCATGAGAAGCTGGAGCTCGCCGAGCGTTTGATGGACCTCCGGAAACGCAAACACCGGATATGTGATTCCAGCCATCTGGAGGTACGTCGCTTTCGGCATCGCTTGTACACCCCGCCACGCCACCGGGGCAAAGCTCTCGCATTCCAAGAAGCGAGCCACAGCTCCTCATGCTTGGGCGCCTTCCCGCCTTGTGCGGCCTTCGCGAAGATGTCGTAAGCTAAACGGACCACTCTGGAGCAGCGTTGGGTTCGAGGATGTGCTCGAAACCATGCCGTACCTCGTCGCGGGTCCACCCGCCAGCATCGTGCCAGTAACACAAGATAAAATCACGACCAGCCTGAGGCTCCGAGCTAAAAGTAGGGTTCCTATTCTGATCCAGCCGTTCTGACAGTCGGAGAAATTGGCATTTGGGTGTTTTTCCCGAGTAGCTGCCACCACTTTTTCCCCGCGATCTCCTACTCGATCTGGTACAGCCTTGTCGGGGCCCGCATGCAACTGAGTAGAGCCACCAGAAGCAGCAGGTACAAGAAAGCGCATCCTTTGACCATTACCAGGGAGACGAAGAGCACCAAGTGCTTGAACAGCACGCCGCCCAGCAACAACGATGGTTCCAGTGAGCTGCGCCTCGAAGGTGCGACCGAGATCTTCCTCAAGGAGCTGGTACTAGTCGATCTTCGGATCTTTGAGCAATTTGTATTTCGACGAAACCCCACCAACCTTCTTGACGATCGTGGGCGCCACAATCTTGAGGATGGTGCCTTCAGCCCCACGCTGGAAAGCAACACGGGGTGGCCTAGGATGAAATGATGCCCGATGTGCAAGTGCCAATTCACGTCGCATGTGGTCCACGGCGGATCACATCTCTGCCATTTCTGTTGTACTTTTGTACGTACGTCCACCAATCGATTAGCCCACTTTTGCAGGGATAGTGGAGTTGACCTTGAAACCGTTTCTCGAGCGCGTCGATGAATAGGAGGAACAGAAGGGAGAAGGAGGAAGCAATGATGTTAGGAGGAGGATGTTAGGAGGAGGATGTTAGGAGGAGGGGGAGGAGGAGGAGGAGGAGGAGGAGGAGGGGAGGAGGAGGGAGGAGAACAGGAACAGGACAGGAGGGAAAGGAAATAAGGAGGAGGAGAAGGAGCAGGAGGAGGAGGAGGAGGAGGAGGATGAGGAGGAGGAGGAGAGGAGGACCCGAGGAGGAATCATCGAGGAGGAGCTGGAGGAGGAGGAAGCAGAAAACGAGGAGGAAACAACGAGGAGGAGGAGGAGGAGGAGGAGAGGAGGAGGAGGAGGAAGAGGAGGAGGAGGAGGAGGAGGAGAAGGAAGAGGAGGAGGAGGGCGAGGAGGAGGAGGAGGAGGCGGAGAAGGAGGAGGAGCCTATCCCCCCTTCAGCGTTCCCCCTGGCGGCTGCCCCCTGGGCGCCTCCGACTCCTCGCAGCCGCGGCCTGGCGACCAGAGCGCGCCGCCGCGGGGGCCGCCCGCGGCGGCCAGCGCCTCCGCTGCGCCAGGGCCTCGGGCGTTGGCGCCGGCGGCGACGCCGACGACACCGACGCCGACGACGACGTGAACGACGCCGACGCTGACGACGACGACGACGCTGACGACGACGTGAAAGATGCTGACAACCACGACGACGACGACGACGGCGAGAGGGCCATCCTAGACGGTGGGCCCAGGACCGTGTCGGGGCCAGCAAAGGGGGGCAGGAACAATCCCCAGAGATCCGACACTCCGAACAAGAATTCGAACGGGGGGAGCCCTCGCGGGGTATTGGGAACGTCAAAAAACGGCTCGGGTTGTAAATCCGGCCCCAGGGGAAGTGGTCCTGCCCCCGAATCGTTTGCGAACCGTTCGTTTTGAACATGTGTCTGCCCCTCAACCCAGCAGCCGTGGACAAAGCCCTCGGAGTTCACGAACACATGGTGGTTCCGAATCGTTGACGAACGATTTACGCACATCCGAAAACGAACATTTTTTGTTTTTGTTAAAACCTTCCGAACACAGCATACGGCACGCCGTGTCGGGGCCCACCAGGGGCAGGAGCAATCAGCCTCGAATCGGGGAATCGGACTGGATCGTTTTTTTGTGTGCTGTTGTCGTTGTGGTTGAATGTTTCATTACTACACAGTTGTTATTGTTAGACCCCTCACACGCGCCCTGGCGCTTTCGCCGAAGCGCTGGCTGCATTTTCATCGAAAATGAAGATCGCTCTCAACCGGTTTGGGGGGCCGCCAAAACCGGCCCCCCAACAACAACAGCGCTCCCGTTCGAGACTTCCTCCTTTTTAAATCAGGGCCGGTGCTCTTGCTCGCCGCCGAAAGCAGCCGTCTCAACAAAACCAGCGCTCCCGCTCGAGACTTCCTCCCGTTTTACCTTGGACAGGCGCGTTACTGTTTCTCAAATCGGCGCCGCCCCCCAGCAACAACGCCGCCCCCGCTCGAGACATCCTTCCTTTTTTATGCTCGCCGCCGACAGCCCCCGTCCCGACAAAATCGCCGCTCCCACCCGAGACTTCCTCCAGTTTTACGCTGGATTGGCGCTTACCTCCTCCTCCTCCTCCTCCTCCTTCTCCTCATCCTCCTCCCCCTCCTCTTCCTCCCTCTTCCCCCCTCCTTCCTCTTTCTCCCTCTTCTTTCTCCGCCCCCTCATCTTGTCCCTCCTCCCTCCTCCGTCCCTCTTTCCTCCCTCCTCCTCCTCCCCCCCCTTTCCTCCTTCTCCTCCTCCTCCTCGTCCTCCCTCCTCCTCTTCCTCTTCCTCCTCATCCTTTTCCGCCCCCTCCTTCTCCTCTTCCTCTTCCTCCTCCCCCCTCCTCCCCCCTCTCTCTTCCTCCCTCCGCCCACTCATTTTTCCCCTCCTCCCTCCTCCTTCTCCCGTTCCTCTTTGCTCTCTCCTCCTCCCTCCTCCTCCCTCCTCCTTTCCCTTTTCGCCCCCCCTGTCTCCTCCCTCCTCCTGCCTCCCTCCTCCCTCCTCCCTCCTCCGCCCCCATTCCCCTTCCGTCCTCCCTCGTCGCTCTCGTTTGATACTTCCTCACCTTTTACTCGAGACTGGGGCCCTCGTTTCGGCGTCGCCTCTGGGAGCCTTCCAAGAGTCCATGTTGAACCTTGTGCCTATATAATAACTATCACTTTTGGAGAGCATAGATAATGTGGAGTTGGAGGAGAAGAAAGAGGACGGATGACTTCCAGGTGCTCCAAGGATCGAGGGTCGAAGGGTTGACTTCAGGGATTCCTTGAGACGGCGTGGGGGGTGGGGTGGGTGGGGGGGGCAGGTGGGGGATGCGAGCATGGGGGCGGCAGCGCCTGGGGGCGTGAACGTTCAGGGTCACGCGCCGAGGCCGCAGAATGGTAGCGAAATAGTTCGAGCGAGGAGTGAGAAACACCTCGTCCTCGGAGGTGCTGCTGCTACAACTGCTCCTCCTTCCTCCCCCTCCTCCTCCTCCTCCCCCTCCTCCTCCATCCTCCATCCTCCTCCTCCTTTCCCTCATCTTCCCTCCCCTCCTCGTCCTCTTCCTCCTCCTCCGAGATGCGGGGCGTGGGCAAGGCGATTGCGATGGCGATGTGCCGTCCGAGCTGTGGATGTCGAAGTTCCTCGGGAGAGGTTGTGGCAATGCTTTCTTGGGCGGGAGATCTGGGCGAGGGGATATCGGGCCCCGCATGCCAGACAAATCTCCCATGATGGGGTGTAGTACCCAGAAGGATGGATGTGACATGTGGAGGCATGGCACATGATTGTAAACTGATTGTTGTTGATGTTGTTGTTGTTGTTGTTGTTGTGGTTGTTCTTTGTTTGTTTGTTTGTTTGTTTGTTTGCCCCCCCCAGCAAATGACCACTTCGACCTCGCACCCTGCAGCGCGCGACAACGAAGCTGCGCTACAACGTGAGACAAGGGATAGCATGACGGCCGCCTGAATGCGGAATCGACGCTCCCAGCCGAACCAAATCACGGCAAGCCGTGAGACGAGGAAGCGGAGGAGGAGGCGAGAGCAACAGCAGGAGGGACGCGATCGGAACGCACATCGCATCGGGCCGTGCCTCATGGTGAGCGTTTTTTTATTCGGCGTTTCGACATTGGGCGGCAAGGGGGGGTAGGGGGGGTCTGGCTCCAGACCTCTGCTCACTGCGACTGTTTGCAAGAATGCGGCCTCTGGGGGAAGACCCCACCCGTTCGAAGCAAGCGCCAAAAAACTGCCTAGATCTACTCCATGGGTAGGGGGTTTTGGGGCCCGCGCCGAACGGCAAAACAATGCATGAAAAAACGATCACCTGCTTTTAGGTCGGGCATATGTCCCCCTACAGGCGGACTTCGGACGAAAATTTAAAAAGGGAAAATAATCAAAAAACAAAAAAATCGTCCCAATACTTTGACAATTTTTGAATATTCCCCCTGCAGATGGACAGGCCCGACTTAGACCTGCCTCCTCCGCGGCCCCCCTCCGCTTCTCCACCCGCATGCGCGCCCCGCGCCCGGCGCGCCCCGCCAGTGCCGACCCCCGCGCCTGCGCTCGCCGGCCCCCCCGCTTCGAGAGCACCGAAAAGCGGACCGCAGCGGCGGTGTCGGAACATCGGATGGGAGCGGCGGCGCCAGGCTGCACAGCTGCGCCATGCAAGCATCGGAGAGGAGGAGGAGGAGGAGGAGGAGGAGGAGGAGGAGGAGGAGAAGGAGGAGGAGGAGGAGAAGGAGGAGGAGGAGGAAGAGATGGGAGGGAAAGAAGGGATACTCGCCCGAAAACTGGAATCGGATCGAGCCAGAGACGGTGTCGAATCGGGCCGATCGGGAAAATGGACCCGGAGGGGCGGCGCGAGGGGGGAAGAGGCCCACATCTCCGAAGATACGGTCTTTGTTCGATCTGGGTGATTTTCGTGGATTTCGGCCTCTGGGGCCCGTCGTCGGGGCCCAGGACCATCCAAAACAGGTCGGGGAGGCAGAGTTACCCCCGTGGAAGGGGTGGCGCGAGGGGATGATGGCGGAAGGGCTTCTCCCCAGATCCCCTCGCGTCGTGCCAAAAATCAGGACGACAATTTCTAGTCGTTTTCGGCCTCCAGGGGCCCCCGATGTGCCCTAAGACCGTCAAAAACGACTCGGGATGAAAAGCGGCCCTGGGGAAAGGGTCGGGACTTCTCGGGGCCCCACATTCAAAACATCAAAACGTCGCATGTCTGGGAAAAGGGTGGCGTGAGGGGGAAGACGACGGATGGGCTTCTTAGAAGGCTGGGGACTTTTAAGAAGCCCATCTGCCTTCTTGCCTGGGAGCTCCGCCGCCTTCTTAGAGGGCCCTCCCCCCCTGGCGCCGCCCCCATGCCGGCGTCGCCAAGGGGGAGAATGAGCGGCGGGCCCGAAGCGACCACACGCAACCCTGAGATCCTGGCGCCGCTGTTTTCTCAAAGCAAGCGATTTTGCCTGGCTTCGGGTCCAGGGGCCCTCACGGATCGATCCTGCTCGAAGATCGCAGCATCATAGGGTCCAGAGTTCGGGCTGAGTTTTTGTTGTCGAGTTTGACCTGCTTAGTGGTGCCGGATCTCAAGGAAGGTGCGAGCAATTCGCGACGATCTTGCCTCGCCACAAAAACCATGGCGTCGGAGGGCTGGGAAGATCGGCCATAAACGCACCTTGCCTCGGCAACGACAGGAGACGCGTCGCGGTCGAGACTACGGCAGGCTGCGCGGCAGCGAATCGCGCAGGCACAGTGGAGCCAAAGAGAAGACACGGCCACGGAGGGAGGAAGGGAGAGGGAGGTCCGCTCAGACGGTGTACGTGCGTCTTCCTTGGCGGTGGCCCTGGATCGGCTGCGGGCGCAAGGCGCAGGCGACCCTGGGCAGGCATGCTGCTCGGTGAGCGGCTTGCCAGTCGCTCCAGGCGATGCGACGGTAGCAGAGTAGCGGCCTGTGTGCGTGGGGTTGGCCTCTCGTCCCGCGTGCCCCAGGGTGGGTCGAATCGGCACGTCCGATTTTTGGCAAATGAAGCGGGTGACGACGAGCGAGCTACCGCGGACGCGGAAGAAAGCTATCTGGGAGAGTTCTAACCCCGTCCGCCACGCGTGGCAGCATCAGGAGCAACGCCGTGTCCTCGTGAAACTATAAGAGGAAACTGCCGCGCTCACCGCTTCTGGTGTCAAGAGGGTGGCCGGTCTTCAACGTTCAGCAACCTTTCGGGCGCCCTACGAGCTCCAAAGACGAACAGGGTGATGATGAGGAGGAGGAGGATGAGGACGAAGAGCACAAGGACGTGGAGGGGATGTGGAGGCCCGCGGCGAAGTGAACCGCGCTGGCGAGCAAAGCAAGCGGGGAGAGCGGACGACCATGCTGGATGCGCGCGGCGGCGGCCATGCACGCCCAAGCCCTGGTGTGATAAGTCCGCCGACCGTGTCGGCGTGTGTGAAACGCTGTTCCGTTTGCTCTGCTCTCGTCGTCGTGGCCTTCGCCGCTATCGTACCCTGTCCTTAAGCCCGTCACAGGATTTTCCTGTGCCGGTTGCAGCTTTCGCCCTCCTTTCCTTGAACCCTCCTCCTCGAGCTCGTCAGCCGAAACGACAATAAACAATGCCGCTATTGAGTCGAGAGGTACTCGTTCCTCTTATCCCTTCCGTGGGGGGGGAAGGGGTGGTGGTGGTCCCGGGTCAGAATGCTATCCTCCCCCGGGGGTCCCGGGGCCCACAACGTCCCAGGACGGCACAAACGTGCCCCAAGGAGCCCCCAAGACGGTCCAAGAGGGCCCCGAATAACCGAACAATTGGTCTAAGACGCCAGAGACGTTCGAAGAGGCCTCCAAGAGCACACCACGACGGCCCCAACTGGGAAAACTTCAGCATCCTCGCAAAGCCCCATTAGCGATGCGATGGCGGTAAAAGAAAGGCAAGGGATGACGGTGATGCCTCTTTTACGAGTGGCGGTCTTGAAGCCATGTGCGCTGCGCGGGGCCCCTGCCGCTCCCAGGAATTTGATGCCCCAGGGTGGTAGGTGGGTTGTAAATCTGCCGAACGCATGAGCCCAAGTGGCAACATACGTCGGGCAAAGATACAGTGTCGTGCTGGCTCACGGGGGCGCATCCTTGCAAAACCCTACTTGCGGTGCGATGGCTGTAAAAGACGGGCAGGGCGTGACGGTTGCGCTGCGCAGGGCCCCTGCCGCTCCCAGAAATTTTATGCCCCCTTTAGCGATTGGCGTGAGACACCACGATATCCTGCATCTCTGGGCGCCAACGCCGAGCTCCGCCCGGGACAGTATGTGGACCGATCGTTCGACGGCCCTTGAGCTGGGGAGAACTCCGGACTCCAAACGGCCGAAAAGAGGGGAGGGTGGCTAAAGGGCCTCCCCCCGCCCTTGCGGACTCCCCCACAAGCCAAACCCATTCCCACCTGGGCGACTCTCGCCCACCGCGGTGGCCACAAGGTTCCCACAGAGGGGATGCGGGATCGGGGTGGGCCTCCCAAGCGCGGGGAGGTTTGAGCCGCCCATGCCCTGGGCCGACCGCGTGGCCGAGGCAATGGGGGCGCGGTCCCGAATCCCTGCCCATCCTCCATATGGCCCTTAGCGGCTGGGATACCACTCCCACCCTGGACGCCCGCCCTCGCCCGCGGCGGAAGGATGGGGGTCCGCGGGCAAGAAGGGGGCGCCCGCCTTGGAGGCTCCCAGCAAAAAGACGGGGTTTCAGACGATCCTGGAAGCGCGCCATGATGCCGCTCGGAGCCAAGTTCTGCTCGGGGGCCGCCGCCGACCCCCGCCCGGGACGCGGCCCAAGCCCATCGGTCGCCGGCCCCTGGGCGGGGGAATATTCCGAACGGCCGACAAGAAGGGGGGGTGGCAAAGGGCCTCTCCCCATCCCTTGCGGACTCCCCCAGGCCCGCCCCCCACTCCCACCAAGGCGACCCTCGCCCGCCGCGGTGGCCGCAAGGTTCCCAAGGAGGGGATGCGGGATCGGGAAGGGCCCCCCCCCCTAAGCGCGGGGACGTTTGAGCCGCCCGTGCCCTGGGCCGGCCGCGCGGCATATGCAGGGCGCGGCTCGCGGAGCCGCGGGGGTGAGACCACGTAGCTTGTCAGGCTCGATTTCTGTGTTGGAATCGCCGCGCCTCCGGAGCAACGGCCCCGGGGTCGGGCGCCCCCCTGCCGGCCCGGCGGCCGTCGGCGGCCGCCCGCCCTTCGGTGGGGGTCCTTACCGAGGTCCCCGCCGAGCCAGGCGGGGACCCGTGTTGCCGCGGCTCGCGGGGCCGCGAGGGTGCGACCCTGTCGCTGCTGGCGCTCGCGACCGACTGGGCGCGGCAAGCGGGGCCGTGCAAGTGCGACTGCCGCGCCGCGCGGTCCCGGCGCTGATTTCCGTGCGGATCGCCCCCTCCTCTGGCTCCCTTACGGCCAGTGAGATGCCGGCCGTCGGCGAGTTCGTCGACGGAGCTGTCGGCCAAGCGGTTGGCGGGGCAGTCGGCGGGTCTGCGGGCCGTCCGCTGTCGGCGACGCTATCGGCGAAGCTGTCGGCGAGGGGTCCCGCGGGGCCCAGCCGCAGCTGACGCTCGACCACGTGTAGCCCGCAGCTCGCTCTCCCGCCAGGGCCGCGGCGCGGAGCCCGCTCCGCGGGGGCGCGTGGGGCCCCGCTGCTGTGGAGCTGTCGGCGACGCTGTCGGCGGAGCTGCCGACGAAGCTGTCGGCGCTGCGTGGGCCGCCCCCCGCCGGCGAGGCCACGGGCGGGGCTGTCGGTTGTCTGAGTGGGCGGCGTCCATCTTCTCCGGCTTGTCGCCGAGGTCAATGCGGCCGGCTCAGCGGGCCGCCGTCGCGCCGGCGTGGCCCCCGCCCCGAGCGGCCGCGCGGGGCCCCGCTGCCGCTGAAGCTGTCGGCGAAGCTGTCGGCGGAGCTGCTGGCCAAGCTGTCGGCGAGGCTGCGACCCGTCTCCCGTCGGCGAGGGTGTCGGCGTGGCTGTCGGCTTGCGCGGCGTTGGTCTCCACCTGCTTGTTGCCGAGGTCAGGCGCTGCTGGTCCGGCGGGATGCCCTCCCTGGCCCGTCTTCGCCCTGGCGCTGATGACAGCCTCAGTGGCCTCCGCGCCCATGGCGCTGGTGCTGTCCGTCGGCGCCGTCTTCGGAGACCTGCGGGCCGAGCGCGGTCCTGGGCGGGGCCGTCTAGGGAGCGCCGCGGCGTTCCCGATCGCGTCCCCCTTGCCCGACGGAGGTGGCCACTGGCCACGCCGGGGAGGGGGGGGGCGCTGGCTCCTGAGCCTCCTCCTCCGTCCTTCGACGGGCTCACGACTGGTGGGGTGATTCGTCTTCCATGGCCCTCGGCTGACGGGCCCTGCCACCCTCGCCCCTTCCCGCCGGTGCGCCCCTCGCGCGGCCCAGGAGTTCCAGCGCGTTCCCCCGGCCCATCGGGCGGCGAGCTCCTGGCCGATTCTGCTTCCTGGCGATCACCTCGAATATGGCGTCGCGCGAGGACTGGGGATCGCGCGAGTCCTGGATGTCGCGCGAGGCCCGGCTGTCGCCCGAGGCCTGGACATTGCGCGTGGCCTGGATATCGCACTACCGCGCTGTCAAATTCACGAGGGCCTACCTGGCCTCGAGGTCGTCTGATGCCTGAATGTCGCCCGTGACTCCGGCGCCGCCGAGGTTCCGCGTGGCCGAGCTCGAAGGGCTGCTCTGCTTGGCTCTGATGTCGCCTGAGACCCGGGCGCGGACCGGAGGCGGGTCAGTCGACTTGGCCAAGCCCCGCCCGGCCTGGACGTCGTTCGCGACCTCGGTGCTGCCGAGAGGCCCGGCGCGGCCCACCCCGCGAGGGACTGCGTGGCCCTGATGTCGCTAGGGGCCTGAGCGTCGAACGGTCGCCGGCCAGCCGACTTGGCGAGGCTCTGCGCGGGCGAGTCTACGAAGGGCTGCGCGGCCTCGGTGTCGCCCGAGACCCGGCGTTATGGCTGAAGACGGCGGCCCCTGGCTCCTCCGAGCATGCGCTTCGTTGAGCGGCGTCGGGGCCTGCTGCCCCAGCTCGCCCGTCTCGCCTCGTGGGCGCTGGCCCTGACGCTAGGCGCCAGCTTCTTCTCGCAGTAGCTCGCCGAGCAGCACCAGAGCCTTCGGCTACGACTCGCATGTTTCGCATCGCGGGCGTTGTCGCTGATGGCGCCAATCTCCAGCTCCCTCTCGCAGCGGCTTGCCAGGCAGCGTTCGGGCCTGCTGCCCGTGCTCGCCCGTCCTGCACCGCGGGCGTTGGTCTCAGCTCCTCCGTGGCCGCTCGCTGAGCAGCGCCGGGGCCTGCCGTCCCAGCTCGCCCGTGTCGCCTCGCGGACGCTGGACCCAGCGTCGTAGCGGATGACGCTGGGCCCCTGTCCGCGGTCGCGAGAGAATCTCCCCCGAGGGGCCCGCGTGGGGGGTTATGTATCCGCGTGTTTAACACTTCCAACGGCGTGGCCTGCATAGTCGAGCGGTGCGTGCTGGTGTCCTTGCCGTCCGAGATCGCCAAGGCGGCGCCCTGCGCGTCCTCTTGATCGTTCGCGAACATGTTGTCGGCTGCCTGGAGGGCCTGTCCCGCGCTGGTGTCTGGCGGCCGCCGTGCTGACGGACTCTCTGTCGCACTTGGTCGGGGCAGCGCCGCCGCGGCGGTGGCGTTGTCGAAGGACTCGCCGTAGTACGTGCTCCAGTACCTGCCAGTTAGGCTCAGGGCGAACCTCCTGCCGATGTTGACGCCTTCTTGATTCGGGCGGCCGCTGCCGTCGAATGCGACGACGAGGTCCTGCCTGGTGCTGCAGATCTCGTCGCCGACGCACTCCTCGGGGTTGCGCTCCCGTTCGCTGCGCAATGCTGGGATCTTTTGCTAGGCTCCCTCGTCTCGGCTCGCGTGCGCTGGTCTCGGCGACGTAGCTGGTGATGCTGGTCCCCAGCGTCCTCTGGCAACAGTTTTCTGGGCGGTGCTGGAACCTGCTGCCGCTCCTCGCTCGTCGTCTCGCCTCGGGGGCGCTGATCCCGCGATGTTACTGCGGGCGCTGGTCTCCGTCATCCTTCGTAACGGCTCGTTGAGCGGCGCCGGAGCCTGTCGCCCTGGCGCTCGCGCCGCAGGAGCTGCTCCCCGCGATGTAGCTGCTGACAACATTCTTGGCCTTGCTCGTGAAAAACAAATTCCGACTGGGGATCTGGTGCTCGCGCTTCACGATCTCATCGTAAATGCCTTGGGCCGAACGAGACCATAATGGCGTGAAGCCTGCGAGAAAATCATGTCGGAATGCCCAACGCCCATCGGTCCACACCGCACCCGTGACCCTTTTTCTGAACCACCTCCGGCGCCATATACTCGGGGGTGCCGCGCATCGTCCACAGGTGATTCCCGACGACCCTGGTGAACAAGAAGTCTGTGAGCTTCAAATGAGCCTCGCTGACCAGAAACATGTTCCCGGGCTTTATGGTCCATGAAGCGACGCCCGATCCCTGGAGCTTAGCTTCGCTGTGTCACCGATGTTCCACTATCTTAGAGATTCAGCGACCCGCACTTGGTACCTGGCCCTGTCCAGAAGCACCGATTGATACTCTGGATCCACCTTATCACTTGTGCTTCCGCCACAAGATGTGTCCAATAGCCTCCGCGTGTGTTAGCTATCGTGTCCTCTTGAGTGCAATCTGCACCCGTTTCGGCGATAAAAGCGGATATGCTGGGAGACCGTCGCATACTGCTCTAGTGAGATATGTAGGTATGTTTTCAACACTCTCCGCTGCAATCATATGCCCCGTGCAATTTTCTTTAAATGTTCAAACAGGGTTGCTTGCTATCCTGATCTTTTGCGTGATGCTTGCACCCGATCTTCCTGCGTGCGAACACACAGTGCGCGTCAGAGCCATGGGCGCGGCCTCTGGTTGGTCCTTCGCCTTCGCCATCCAGACTTGGCCGAAGCTGCCTGTGTCGACCGTGGCGCCGGGGTGCAGGTCCGACAGTTCCCAAGCGTTTGGGGCGCGCCATGCTGAGGGCCGGCGAAGCTAGCTGCCGGTCATCCTGGGGGAACGAACCAAAAGGTACTGATACCGCTGCTCCCCTGACCTCTCCCAGTGTGCGCTCTGACCAAAAAGCTCAAGGCGAATCCAGCGTTGGTGACGAGGGCCTCCTAGGAGGCCCCGAGAGGCGAAAACGAGGGAAGGGTCGCGGTATGGGTGCCCTTTCCTCCTCTGGCGATCCTGGCCCGCAGAGAAGAACAGGCTCACGACCGACGCTGGCAGCAGGCCCCGCACGGAGCGGGCCGGGCACGCAAGGCCCTCGCTTGCAGCGCCTCCCCCCGCCGCGCAGCCGGGCGGCGAGCGGCGCGCCTTGCCGGCGAGGGAGCTGGGCGCCAGCAGGGCACGCTGGGCAGGTGCCGCGCGTCTCTCGGCGCGCGCGGCGAGCTTGGCGGCAGCTCCCTCAGAGGTGGAGCCTCGGCGGTATGCTCACCTCGACTGGGCGCATCCTCGGCGAGCGCGGCGTGCGCGGCGAACCTGGCTGCGCGTCACTCGGCGAGCCCATTGCGGTCCCCATCGGCGCGCCCATGAGCGAGACATCCAGCGGCGCAAGGCCTCGCCCCTCACGGACCAGCCTCTGCGAGCCCATTGCGGTTCCCCTTGGCGCGGCTCTTGCCGAGACACCCGGTAGCGAAGAGCCTTGCAACGACACTTCTGGAGCGCTCGGCACGGTCGCGTACGGTGTGGTCGGCGCCCGATCCGCGCCGCCTCGGAGACGAGTGTCACTCGAGTCACACTTGCTTGAGACAGAGTGGCTTGAGCTTGCTTGGGCCTCGCTGGGGCCCTCTCGGGGCAATTCTGGAAGCCTTCGGGGCCCTCTTGGGGCCCTCTTGGGCCCCTCCTGGGGGCCTTGGGGGTGCTCTTTGGGCCATCTCGGGAGCCATCGCTCGAAGACGGGGGGGCTCCTCATTTCGGCCTCACCCCGTCGGGGGACGAACATCTGCCCGTTGGAGCCTGTCGGGGCGCTCGGGGCCGATTGGAAATTTCGATGCCCGAACCGGTGGCGGCTCCATCGCTCGGTCGTGCAGCGGCCCGTCTGGGCCGAGATCGCCCGCCAGCCCCCCGGCGGCGGCGGCGCCGCACCTCTCTGGCCCGGGGCAGCGGTTCTTTTCTCCCCTCTTCCAAAACCCACTTCTTCTCCTGTTCGGGGAGGGGTTTCCCCCTCCCCCGTGCCACCTCCCCTGGTGTTTGGGGGCTGGCCGCGAGCTGTCAGCAGGCCCCTCGGGCCCAAGATGGCTCCAGGACGGCCCCTGGCGCCCCAGGATGGCCTACAGAATGGCTCAAGATAGCGGGAGGTGGTTCAGGATATGCCAGGTGGCGGGGTACCGAGTCATGGGGCCGAGGGACGTATTGAAGTGAGGAGCGGGGGCCATGAAATCCAGGGAGATATCGTGGACCCGGCCACGATATCCCCCCTCCGGTCATCACTGCCCTCGTGGACGCCCCCGATCCCCGGGCCCACGGCCCGCCTGTCGGCCGAGCTGTTTCGGTTGGCGGGGCACTCCGTCGTGGGTGGGAGGAGGGGTCCTGCGCAGAGCCCTGCGCCTGGACTGCGGGCCGCAGCCTGTGTCTCGGAGAGGCAGTGGTGGACGATGGTGGTGCCGTTCGAGGGCGAAGGTTAGGCGCAGCCACCGGGAGATCGTCGTCGTTGTACTCCTTCTCTTCCTCCTCCTCCTCCTCCTCCTCCTCTTCCTGCTCTTCCTCCTCCCCCTTCGATCCTGAACTTGCGCACGCTCGAGAGCCCTGACTTCATCTTCACCGATAGGCGCCCGACGGTCTGTCATCCCGCAAGCGCCCACTCCCAATCGAGAACCTGCACAACTCCAGACTGTTACACCCCGCACCTCTGGCTTACAGTGGAGGCCAGTCCACAAGAAACCTTCCACAAGAAACCGAACCCTGAGACCCCAGGACGTCCATTGATTTTTGGTGTGGGAGCGTCACGCCTTCCACAGTAAAACAATCGAAACTCAAGAAATCCAGGGCACCCTGGAGGCAAGCAGGGAGTTTCTTGGCATGGGCCCCCACTGTACAGCCTAGATCTCGAAGCGGGCTCACGGCGATCGCACCGCACGCGGCGCAGCTGCCGAGCTCGCTGCTGACTCCTGCGCCGGCGGTCCCAGCCGCAGCAGGTGACAGTGCCTCGTACACCGACCTCCGCACGGCCCTTCGCAGATCGATCTGTGAGTCCGCGTCCACTGGCACCTCAAGCTGCTGGTCGTCACCTTAGCGCGGCAGAAGACCAGACTGGTTGTCGAACCTGCACTCTCCACCGCTCGTACCCGTGCGATCCCAAGAGGCCCTCTAGCCCGCAATGCATGGTCGACCGAGGCTGATTCCTTTGCATGCAGGGCACAGCGCCGCTGTCGTCGGAGACGGTCCTACGGCACTGATGCGAGAACCCTGAGAGCCCATGACTACCACATGAACCTGGCGCGACCCCAACGAGGGGTGTTCTCATGGATGAGGGCATTCATGTGCGATGCGATACATGGAGGTGCCATGCTCTGCGAAATATGGTACATAATAGCAATACACATGACAACACGGTCTAGACTCTCACGGCATAGCAGCGTCGTGCCGCACGGAATGGCACGGCATATCCTGCGCGGCGCAGCATGGTTCAGCACGGCGCTGCGCAGCACGGCGCAGCGCAACATCGCACGGCACAACTGTCGGCACACCAGCACGGCGCAGCACGGCACTGCACAGCCAAGCGTGAACTGCCGCAGCACTGAACAACGCATCACGACATAGCACTGCGTACCACAGCACAGCCCGAACTCGCGCGCGCGCGGGGAGCGGGCGCTCGAGCCACGCAGCGCCAGCCTGATCCGCCGAGTGGACACAGCCCCTCGACCCCCCCAGAGTAGCGCAGACACCACCAGGCGAGCCCGAACTGGTGGAAGAGCAGGACGGGCGCAGCTCCGCACCTCGCGCGTGCAGGCGACTCGGTCACTGCGCCCGAAAGACTTCGTGCTCTGAACGTGTCCTCCTCCTTCCCGTGCCTCCTTCTCTCCCCGCGTCTCTTTGCGCAAGGCTCGCGCTTCCGCAGCCCGGCCGGCGCTCCGACCGCGGTGCGATACCGTTCCCACCGCCGCGGATACAACACGGACGCTTGATCGACAGTCTGAGGCTCTCCCCTGCGCAGGCTCGAACGGCTTGCCCTCCTCTTCGCCGATCGGGGCCCGACCGCTTGTCATCACGCGAGCGCCTGCTCCCAACGGTCAGCGAAGAGCTTACCTACACAATGCATAACTGCTGCACCCCGCACCTCCCTTCTGTGGCCCTGCTCTCAAAGTGCGCACGACGCGATCACGTTGCACGCGGCGCAGCTGCCGAGCTCGCTGCTGACTCCTGCGCCGCCGGTCCCAGCCGCAACAGGTGACAGCGCCTCGTACACCGACCTCCGCACGGCCCTTCGCAGGTCGATCTGTGAGTCCGCGTCCACTGGCACCTCAAGCTGCTGGTCGTCACCTTAGCGCGACAGAAGACAGGACTGGTTGTCCAACCTGCACTCTGCTTCGCTCATGTCACGTGTACTCCTGCGATCGCAGTTGGTACCCTAGCCCGCAACACATGGTCGACTGAGGCTGGCTCTTTTGCACGTCGGGCACAGCGCCGCTGTCGTCGGAGACGGTCCTACGGCACTGATGCGAGAACCCTGAGAGCCCAGATCTACCACACACGAGAACAGATGCAAGTCCACACTTCGCATGTACGAGCGCGTACGTACCCAACGGCCAGAGAAACTTCTCTGCGACATCTCGAACTGCCTGACCTCATCTTCGCCGATCGGCGCCCGACGGCCTGTCACTCCGAAAGAGCCTGCTTCAATGAACAACCTACACAATCTGCCTGCGGCATCCCACGCTTTCCGCCCACGGCCCAAAATTCAAAGCGCGGTCGCCACGATCGTGTCGCATGCGTCTTAGCAGCTGAGCTCGCCACCTCTGCCTGCGCCAACGGTCCCAGCCGCAACAGGGGATAAAGACTCGTACACCGATCTCCGAACGGCCCTTCGCAGATCGACCTCTGAGTCCACATCCACTGACACCGCAAGCTGATGGTCATCACCTTAACGCGACAGAAGATCGGACTGGTTGGCCAGTCTACAATCACCATCGCTCATGCCATGTTTGTTCTCGATCGTATATTTCACTCTAGCCAAAGGCAGTGTCAAGTGGTCGACACATGCTGGCTCTCCTGCTCGTGGAGCACAGCATACCTGTCGTCGGATACCCTGGTACAACAGCACTTAGAGCAAAAGCCTATTTCAAAACATATTGTACGCACATCCACACTTTACATGTGCAGACGCCTGCAACAATATCGGCTGAATCTCCGCGCATTTATCGTCACCGATCGGCTCCCAACAGCCTGTCACCCCGCAATCGCCTGCTTTCAACTAAGAACCTATACACATCCCCACCGCCACAACCCACACCTCCCGTCTTCGCCCAAATCTCAAAAGGGTGCTCGCCGCGATCGCGTCGCATGCGGCTCAATTGCTGAGCTCGCCACCCTTGCCAGCGCCAGCAATCCCAGCCCCGCCGACAACACCCGTGGCCCATTCGTCTGCCTCGGAGTCGTCGGAGTCGGAGTCGGCAGTGGCATGGGGACTCCGCATGGGCGCCGTGTCACCAGCACCAGTGGCCAACTCCTGTTGGTCACGCGCGGAACAGGCCCCCTCACCTCCCCCGCCACGCCAATGAAGATTTCTTGAACCCCCCGTGGTAACCAACAGCGCGTCCACGTAGCGCATGGCCGGGTGGGGTGGGGGGCCCTGGCGAAACGGTCTGATCGGAACGAAAGGGTAGCCGCTCACGCGAGTCAGTTTAAAGTCGCGCACGTATGGGCTGGTTCGGGGCGAGCAGATGTCCTTGCATTGCTCCACTTACTCTCTTTCTTTCTGTTTCTTCTGATCCAACTTCTCTAATTTCTGGCCAAGAAGGCCAAGCCAATTGAGGCCCAACGAGGCGGTCCCACTGTATTGTGGGGGTCGGTGGCAGTGGGGATCAACGAAGGGAGCCCGTGAGCCCCGCTGGGTCCCTATGCTAGGTCCTTGCGAGAAGAGCTCGCTGCAGTCGATGTGTTGTAGCCGATGTTGCGCTGTCAGTGTGGTGCAACGGGCGCGTAATGCAATCGATGTGGCATGAGCTAAATCGTGCATGCTATGACGTGCAATCAACGCGGTGGAATCTATGGGGTGTGAGTCCCCCGGCCGAACTTGAATATGTCAACCCCACTGCTCGCGCAACCACCCCACCCACACACCCGCAACGTGGTTTGTAAAATCCATGCGGCGGCGGTTGCGATGGCTGCTCGGCGCTGGCTGGCGCACCGCCGCGGCAACGCTAACGCGCATGCTCGCGCGCGAAACGATCAGCTAGTTTGGCGCGACCGACGCGGCCGCGGTGGCGCTTACCGCTGGGCGCTTCCCAACGTGCACTTCAGTGCGAATCGGCGATTGAGGCGGGCGTGGTACCATGGCAACGCCGACAATTGTAGACAAATGATAGTAGCGATGCTGGTGACGATGATGACAACGACGACGGCACGGCCAATGACGGCGCCGATGCTGATCACGCCGACGACGATGACGGCGTCCTCGCGTCGGTGATGAAGGTTTTCGAAGGAACTCGACATGCGCGCGCGGGTGCCGCGCGAAAGTGGCCCGTATGGTGTTAGTTGCGTCTGCAATTTTTGGGGATGCTGGCATGCGTGCGCGACGGCGCGCGCGTGTGCACCCCGTCCGTTTTTGCAGAAGGATTCTTGCGACAAAACGTGCGGAAAAGGTGTTTTTGCGATTCCGACATGCGCGCGCGAAAGGGCCGCTTGGTGGCATGCTATGAGCAGATGGAATCACCAATGGTTTTCTTAAGCATCCGCAACCGCCCGAGCGCTATTTTTTTGGGAACATTCTTGTTGGGAACCCAGGTGTCTTTTACATTTTTTCGGGACATGTTTTGTTGACATCCTTACGAAACCTAAGAGTTTTTGAAGGATTTCAGCATGCGCGCGAGAAGACGCGCGCGTGTGCACCTCGTCCCGTTTCTGCAAAGGATCCGTGGAGCTTCTGATTTCTGATAAACCCGCGCGCGCATAGTATCATTTTGCAGAGGATGGGGGGGGCGATGTTGGCCTGGCTAGCGTGGTATGAACTCATATTACGGATGGACGATGGGGCAAAAACATATGTACATTGCAATGCGAAAGCGGTAACCGTTAATTCCGGTGGGGTGGGGGGAGATCGTAGTACTTTTGTAGGACAGAAAATTCAGCAGCCTGCATCGTGCGCAACCACCTCCAAAGCTCGTCGTCAACTCCAACGCTCGAGCAAACATCTTGCCCGTCAAATAGTAACTTGTTGGCAACACTCAACTGGGGTGGTATCGCGAGGAAGCTTCTCATGCAAATCCATGACTCAGGAGGGTTGGAGACGGCGGCGGGGATGATAACGACGATGATGATGGGGATGAAAATAACGGAGATGATATCAACGCTGGCGATGATGATATTGCTGGTGCTGTTCAGGGCGATGACGAAGTACGTGCGGCCTGAATTCCACATACGCGCTGCGTCTGCGAGCGACTTGGCAAATTCGGCTCACATACTTCCGTGGCGGCGACGGTAGAGCTTCTTGACTGACATAGCTTCGCGGTGGTGTCCTATGATGACATCATCTACGCGGCAAAAACTCCAGGTCGACCTGAGCGGGCTTTCTCTGTTAAGAATACAAAGGGAACGCGTTCTGGCGGACGATTTTCCATCTCGAACTTGCACGACGCTTCAAGACCCTGGCAATCACGACTCGGGGTGCTCACTGTTCGTGACAATCGCATCCTTCGAACGCGTCAGTGCAACAAGCCATATCCAAACTCCCCACGCCCCCCGACTTCATGATTTGTTCACAATGTCGACGCCCAAAGGTCTCGACCCAGTCCCCATATCCCGGCAACTCTGAGCTCCGAGATGCCGCGCGCGAGGTAGGCGGGCGCGTTTCACCGGAGACATCCTCGCAACTTCGCGCTCCGAAATGCCGCGCGCGAGGTGGCCGGACGCGTTTCGCCAAGGACATCCTCGCAACTCTGAGTTCCGAGCGGCCGCGCGAAGAGGTGGCCGGGCGCGTTTCGCCTGGGACATCCTCGGAGCTCCGAGCTGCCGCGCGAGAGGTGGTCTGGCGCCTTTCGCTTGAGACATCCTCGCGCCCTTCAGCTCCGAGATGCTGCGCGAGACATCCTGAACCGTCTTTTGACGGTGAGGGCCCCGTGGAGGCCGAACAAAAGTGAAAGCCCGCTCGTCGTGATTTTTTCGTGACCCAGGGGGCTGGGCACCTGGACCGAAATCTGGGAGCTCTCCCGCGATGGAACATTCCCCCTTGCTCCCCGCAGTGCGCGCGCGGCCCTCGTTGCCCCCGCGCGCGCGCGCTTCAGAGTCAGGTCGGACCCAAGCTGCGGCATGCTGCGGGGTGCCTGCGCACTGGCCGGGCCCGCCGCAGCCCGAGGACGCGCGCGCCGAGCGGGGCAGCGCCCCTCGGACGCGGGCGCCTGCCGAAGCACGGAGACAAGGGAACCTCATACGCTCCTTTCCGCTCGGGTAAAACAACCAAAAGTTATTGGTGGTTATATCTAGATATGTCTGTCTGTCTGTCTGCATGTATGTATGCATGCATGCAAGCATGCATGCATGCATGTACGTACGTATGTATGTATGTCTGTATGTGTACACACACGCAAAAGCGTGATTGCCATAAAGCACGTGCCGCGCTCCGTCTCAACGCCACACATATTTCGCGCTTGACTTTCGACAGCCAGCCGCCGCTCCAGGAACGCGTGACGTTCCATCCCCGACGCGAGCACCCCCCCCGCCGATCCTCGGCCCTGGAGGCGGCCTCGGAGCCCGCCGCCGCGGCAGACGGCCCTCCTGCCTCGCCGCCGGCGCCGCCGGCGCACTCCTCCAGGGCGCGGGGGCCCCGCGGCGCGCTCGCGCCGGCGTCCTCCAGCCCCACCTCTTGGGGATGGCGCCAGCTCCTCCTCCTCCTCCTCCTCCTCCTCCTCCTCCTCCTCCTCTTTCTCTTCCTCCTTCTCCTCCTCCTTCTCCTCCTCCTTCTCCTCTTTCTCCTCCTTTGTGCTCTCAGAGGGCCCCAAGACGGCCCCAGAAGGCCGCAGGGGGGCCCACGAAGCTTTCCGGGCGGCCCTCTGGATCGGCCCCCGAGACGGACCCCTCAAGCGACGGACGGCCCAGGAGCGCCCGGAGACGGCTCCCGCCGCCCGCATGGGGCCCAAAGAGGCCCCTGAAAGGCCCCCGACTCGCCATCGCTCGGACGTCCATCCCCCGTGCATGTTGAAATCTCGTGCGTGTTTTTGGTGCTCGATGATCCAGGCTGCTCCTCGATGGCCCTCGCCGAAAACACGCACACGCCCGAGCGATGCCAAGCGCGCCGCTGCTGGCCAGGCCCGCCCTGGGCCCAGGGCCGGCCGCTCTGCTCGGCGGCGAGCCTCGGGGGGGAAGTGGAGCGGGGGGCAGGCCTTCTCGGAAGGCGGCGGGGCTTCTCAGAAGCCCTCGCGCCCTCACTCCCCGTCGCTCGGACGTCCACTCCCTGTGTTTTTTCCGGTTTCGTGCGTGGGTTTTTCGCAGGATGATCCAGGATGCTCCTTAATAGTCCCCGCCGAGAAAAAAATGCACACGTGCGAGCGATGCCAAGCCTGAGAAGCCGCCCGTGGCTTCGGAGCAGGCTCACAAGAGGCTTCTGAAAAAACGCGCCAGGGCCTCCGAGAAGCCCAGCCTGCCTCTGAGGGGGCCTGCCCTCTCTCCGACGCATGGCGGCTCTCGGGTCACCGCTCCTCTCTCCAGTGGCCGCTCGGGGCGATCCGGGCACCCCCAGAACGCCGTCGGCGAGGCGCAGCTGCTGGGACGCATCCCGAGGGCGGAAAACCGCCGAGAGCCGACGGACAGGTCCGGAAGCCTGACTGCACCCCCGGGCTCGCCGCCGATTTTCCCTCACCTGGGCCCCTCGGGGGGCCGCGTGCGGGGGCTGCCCCCCCGGGGAGAGGCCCGAGGCGTCTGGGCCCTGCGGGTGGGACAAGAAGCACGTCGTCGGACGTCCGGATGCGCGCCCCCGCCAGCCCTGACCAGGCCCCCCACCGGAGCGACGAGAAGGCGCGGGTCTCACGCGCGATGACACAGCGACCTCGCGCGGTGGCTTACGCGGGCCGCTGGCGCGGCATGCCACACTGGAGACGAGGGCGCTCGTGCGCGACCTTGCACGGGCAGCTGACGCGCGCATGTCGGGGCAGTCGAAATCCGCTGTTCTGCGTCGCTGACCTGGGCCCAGGATATTCAGGGGGGGACGCTAGGGCGGGGCCAGCTCAAAGGGGGGAACCATTGACCTGGAATCCGGGGTGCACCGCCGATAGGTCGGCGGTGGACCCCCGATAGCAAATCCGCACGCTCCTGGCGATGCACGGGCGATTGAGGGTCGATGTATCCCCCTCTGGGCCGATCCCCCCTGACGACTGTTGCCCCTGGAGGACGTGCCCGGCCCCTGGTCGGGATCGGTGCTGATAAGGAAGCTAAAGCGGCATAGACACAAGCCGTCGGATTTTTGCGCGGCTTTTTTGGATCTGCGCTGAGCGCCTCTCCCTGGCGCGCTCGCGCCGCCAGGGGTCCCATCGCCGGTCCGAGAAATCCGCACGGAGCTCCGAACATTTACGTATGTACATGTTTTTGTTTCTTCCTCGAGGCAGGTGTCCGCGCGGATCTCCGAACAATTGCACCTATGCAATTTTTGGTGTTTCGCCTTCGAGGCACGTGCCCAGCTTCGAGCATGGCTTTTCTGGGGCTCCGGTCCACGGGGCGAACAGCTGCGGCCGCCACCGCTTGTGCTCCCGCTGCTGCCTGTGCTGCTTGCCCCCCTCCACTCTGCCCCCAGCCCGCCAGGCCGTCTACCCTGCTCACAGGAGCCCCTGAGCTTGGAGGCGACCAGAAGGTCTGAACTGCTTGGGGCCCGAGAAAACCAGTCAGGAGTAGGGGTGAGGGCAAGTCCGCTCAAAAGCGGTCCCCATGGTCCATCTGCTGTGATTTTTCACCCTGGATCCGCTTCTGACGGTCCTGGGGCCCGAGCACGGCCCCCAGAGGCAGAGAACGGCAAAACACTGCCCGAACCCAGCACCTCGAACCTGCTCGCCCTCTTCTGCTGGCCGGAACCAGTGCTGGGCCAGACCCCCAGACGGCTCCAGTCCGGAACAATCATACTATCGGACTTGGGCCAGAAGAACATCCCTCAATATCACGGCCGAGACACGCAAAACATCTAAGGATACCCTCCCCGGGGTGCACAAGAGCATGCAACAAACACGAAAAACATTAGGGTACAGTAGAAGCTCGACAACAAGAAACCTTCCACTAGAAACCCAACCCTGAGACCCCAGGGCGTCCATCGATTTTTTGGTGTGGGATAGCAAAACCATCGAAACCCAAGAAACCCAGGGCACCTTGGGGGCAAGCAGGGTGTTTCTTGGCATGGGCTTCTACTGTGCCCTCCCTGAACCGACCTCGATCTTATGCCTCGGTCTGACTGTATTCGACAGTCGGCGCCCTCCGAACCTCCGACAGGGAATCCTCCGCGGCGGGAGGGGGGCCCAGCAGCAGCGCGGCCCCGCCGGCGGCGACAGCGCCGCGCGGCGTGCTTGCCGCTGAGTCGGCGCCGGCCGTGGCGCGGGGGCCCCGCGATGCGGCCGCGGCCTCCTCCGCCTCCGAATCGGAACACTCTGCGGCGGGAGGGCCCAGGGGGCTTCTGGCGACGGCAACCTCTCCGTCGTCAGATCCAGCGTCGTCCGTGGCGCGAGGGCCCCACGATACGGCCGCTGCGGCGGGAGGGCCGGCGCCGTCGGCAGCGGCAGCCTCTCCGCCACACGCAGGGGTGGCCCCAGGCAGGAGGTGCCCTCCGGTGCGCGGCCTCATGGTGACCGCGGGGAGGCCACATCCCAGCGCACAGGCGCGCTGCGTGCCGATCGTCGCACGCGGTGCGACAGCAGCGCCCTGCGTGCCTGGGCCTGGCCGCGCACCAGAGGTCGCTCTGGCGCAGGGCCACTCTGACGTGTGGCCGACCTCCGGCTCCGAGCCCTCGACGGCGGGAGGGCTGGCGCCGTGGGCCACGGCAGCCTCTTCCTCGTCCGAGTGGGCATCGTCCGCGGCGCGAGGGCCCCGCGATGCGGTCGCGGCGGCGGCCTCCTCTGCCTCGGAGCCGGCGCCACCGAACGTGAAACCAGACCCCCGCGGCGGGCTCGCCGCCTCCGAGTCGGAGTCCGCGATGGCGCGAGGGCCCCGCGATGCGGTGGCGGCGGCGGCCTCCTCTCCCTCGGAGTCGGCGTCGCCGAACGTGAAAACAGCTGCTCGCGGCGCACTCCCCGCCTCCGAGTCGGAATCCGCCATGGCGCGAGGGCCCCGCGATGCGGTGGCGCCGCCGGCAGCGGCCTCCTCTCCCTCGGAGCCGGCGTCACCGAACGTGAAAGCAACTCCCCGCCGCGGGCTCGCCGCCTCCGAGTCGGAATCCGCCATGGGGCGGGGGCTCCGCGATGCGGTGGCGCCGCCGGCAGCGGCCTCCTCTGATTCGGAGCCGGCGTCACCGAACGTGCCAGTAACTGCTCGCGGCGCGCTCGCAGCCTCCGAATCGGAATCCGCCATGGCGCGAGGGCCCCGCGATGCGGTGGCACCGCCTGCAGCGGCCTCCTCCGCCTCCGAGTCCGAGCCCTCTACGGCGGGAGGGGGGCTGCTGGCAACAGCAGCCTCCCCGTCGTCCGAGTCGGAATCCGCCATGGCGCGAGGGCCCTGCGATGCGGTGGCACCGCCTGCAGCGGCCTCCTCCGCCTCCGAGTCCGAGCCCTCCACGGCGGGAGGGGGGCTGCTGGCAACGGCAGCCTCCCCGTCGTCCGAGTCGGAATCCGCCGTGGCACGAGGGCCCCGCGACGCGGTGGCGCCGCCTGCAGCGGCCCCCTCCGCCTCCGAGTCCGAGCCCTCTACGGCGGGAGGGCCCTTGGGGCTTCTCGCAACGGCAGCCTCCCCGTCGTCCGAGTCAGTGTCGTCCGTGGCGCGAGGGCCCTGCGATGCGGCCGCGCCGCTGGCAGCGGCCTCCTCCGCCTCCGAGTCCGAGGAGCCTTCTGCCGCGGGGGGGCCCTGGGCGGCTCTGCTGGCAGCGGCCCCCTCCGCCTCCGAGTCCGAGTCCGCATCCGGAGGGCCAGGCGGTCTGGAAACCACCTCGGGGCTCGGGGCGAGAGAGGCTAAACTGGGAGAGAGAAGCGCCACCGAGCCATCTCCTCGCCCAGTCTACAGATCTTGCCAGAGCCCCGCGCCTCGCACGGAGTCGGATCTGAGGTGGTGATTCCTATGTGTGCATCCTCGGGGTTCTCCGCCGCGCCGCTGGCTGGAAATCTCCAGGCAGGCGCCGTCGAACACGCGGTGGAGAAGACTACGATGAGGGCGTTGGTCGGGAATTCATCAAGACCAACGGCGGCTCGTAGTCATATGGCATTTCGGCGCCACCCTCAATCTATGGCAATCTGGATGGACTCCTCCAACAGACGCACTCTATCCCTCTATATTCCAGATGCCTTCGCCTACCACCACTATCACGGCCATTGTCACATGATGGCGCTGATGCTGTGGTCACGCTGGCAGCTTACATAGTAAGCTACGAACTTGCAGCGGACCAGACGAGACAATTGAAACACAACACCACTGGATAATGATTCAGGAGGACTCGGGCAACGGGCAATTCATATCATGCCGTGCATTGCCACCAACAGCAACGAAGCATAAACATGTGCCTCTACGCGAGATCGATCGAGCACAATCCTTCAAGAGGGGGACATAGGAGCTATGCAACTGGGCGAACAGGTATATGGTCAGTTACTCGCTCAACCTGCAACGCTCAACCTACCAGTTGTATGCCTTATGATATTGCAACGAAGCAAGCATCAGCACACATACGCGCTTGTTGGAGCATCCAAGGGCCATGGGACCAGAATTTACATTGAGCCTTGCCACAAGTGGCAGTATGCCCACATCAGACATAACAAACCACAACCGAGACCGCGCTGAACTTGCTGCTGAACCGCTGGGGTGCCATCCTGCCTACCCGCGTGCACATCAACACACACCCAGATCGGGGAGACGGAAGAGGAGGAGGAGGAGGAGGAGGAGGAGGAGGAGGAGGAGGAGAAGGAGGAGGAGGAGGAGGAGGAGCCCCTCCTCGGGGACGAGGAGGAGGAGGAGGAGGCAGAGGGGGAGGAGGAGGGCAGGAGGAGGAGGAGGAGGAGGAGGAGGAGGAGGAGGAGGAGGAGGAGGAGGAGGGGGAGACGTACGTGGGTACGAGCCATGGCACAAACATAACCACCTCAGGAGGTCCGCGCGGCTTCCTCGGATCGGCGCCAGACCCCCCCGCCCCTGGCGCGCGGAGCAGGTCCGCGCAGCTGCAATGATTGATGTTTATGCTCCTCTTCCTCCTCCTCCTCCTCCTCCTCTCCTCCTCCTCGTCCTCCTCCTCCTCCTCCTGCCCCGCGCGACGAAAACAACCGCAGAGGCGCAGGAGGCAGAAGGCAAGAGGAGGAGCTCCTCCGTCCCCGACGCCCTCGCGAAGAGGTCACGACGGAAGGTTTTTCTGCCAGTGCTCTCGGCCTCCGGGTGCCCTCGCCGGGACCCATGGGGGGCAGGCAGCACACGAGTCGGACCCGAGATCTCTTTCTATGCGTATGCCGTCGTGTGTGCCCCAGCGCGTACGAACATTGGATTGTTCACGTCATTAACGATGCTTATGCCAGAGGTAAGACTGTGGGTTGGCCATTGGATTGTTTATGCCATCGGATTGCTTATGCCATTGGATTGCTTATGTCAGACGTAAGACTCGAACTCGCCGGAACTCGGCCCGACGGACGCAGGCCACGCCGATGCGCATGAACATTGGATTGTTTACAGTCAACCCGTGCCATAAGGACGCACGATACGGATGCAAGGGCCTTGGGCGCCCATCTTGGAACTTTTCGAGAGGGGCGCGGCCAACGAGAGTGGCCAAGGATGGACCGATGAGGCAAGGCTGCAAGCGGTACCCTTGGGAAGGCTGCCCATCCTTACTATGTGCGGTTGACTGTATGCCATTGCGTTGTTTATGTCAGACGTAAGACTCGAACTCGCTGAAACTCGGCCCGACGGACGCAGGCCGCGCCGACTTCGAAACGCCCAGCGGGCCGGCGGGCAGGCCCTTCGGGGGCGCGTCGCGTGAGGCGACGGTGCCGCGCCTCCGCGGAGGGCCGACGGAGCTCCCAGGAGGCAGGAGGGGGAGCAGGCGATTGGCGAGGAAGGGCCCGGGAACGGAGGACCCCACCCAGACCCCCGACGTCATGCTTTTTTCGCGACGTCGACCCCCAGAGGTCTGGACCCATTGCCCCGGGACCGGCTTTTCGTCCTGAATCGCTGTTGGACAACCCGAGGCCCGGCAGGGGCCCCCAGGGGCCGAAAAGGTAAATTATCCCAGTGCGACCCTACCTAGGAGTTGGACCCCCTAGGAAAGCAGCATTAGTAGTAACAGTAACGCTAAGCTAAAGCTAAGCTAAAGCTAAGCTACAGCTAAGCTAAAGCTAAGCTAAAGCTAAGCTAAAGCTAAGCTAAAGCTAAGCTAAATCTAAGCTAAAGCTAAGCTAAAGCTAAGCTAAAGCTAAGCTAAAGCTGAGCAACAGCTAAGCTAAAGCTAAGCTACAGCTAAGCCACAGCTAAGCTAAAGCTAAGCTAAATCTAAACTAAAGCTAAGCTAAATCTAAGATAAAGCTAAGCTACAGCTAAGCTACAGCTAAGCTAAATCTAAGCTAAAGCTAAGCTAAACGCTAAGCGAAAAGCTAAGCTAAAGCTAAGCTACAGCTAAGCTAAAGCTAAGCTAAAGCTAAAGCTAAAGCTAAAGCTCCCAGGGGACTGGGGGGAACCGCTCCCAGGGGACTGGGGGAACCGCCCGGGGCGTGTTCCACTGCCCCGCCCCTTTAAGCTCAGAGAGTAAGAACCCTTCTAGGCAGAGCCTAGGTAGGGAAAAACCTCCCATCGCGACTTTTTCACCACGCGGGGGGGGGTCTGGGCCAAGAGGCGGTCGGCCCCCCCGTGCTCGCCCGGCTCGCGGCGTACGTGAGACTCCAGGCTAGAGGGCAAAAAATCCACCACCATAATAACCACCCCGAGGGCCCCTAGAGGCCGAAATCGAGAAAAACCTCGGCCTTGATTTTTTCAATGCGCCAGATCTCTGGGATTGTCGGGGTCTGGGTGGGTTTTCCTCCCTTGACAGGCCACGAAGACGCCGGCCGCGCCGACCCCGAGACGCCCTGCCAGCACCCGACCTCCAGCGGGCCGCGCGGGCGGCGGGGCGGCCCGGCCTCCGCGGCAGACTCGGGCGCGCCAGCGCCCCCTCCTGGCGGGGAGGGGAGGCGGAGGAGTAGGAAGTAGGGAGGAGGGAGGAGGAGGAGGAGGGAGGAGGGAGGAGGGAGGAGGGAGAA